AAAAAAAAACCTAGCAGCAATATCAAATAATTTTTTGGATAGCGGGATTGATGATACTGTTCTGTTCAGTCATAATCTGTTAATAAAGTTGACTGTGTAAACCCAATAACTCATCCTGGAAGTTATGGGACTATTTCTTTGATAAGGAGTCCCAAATAGAATTTAAGCTCAAAATGAAAACAAATTACATATGAGGCAAAAAACGGAAAGATAAGAGGAAACAAGAAGGATGAGAGTTTAGATAAGTGAAAGATATCAGGATAATAGAAAAGAAAAGCTTTTTTCCAAACTCGCGTCCTGTAAATGTGTTTAAGGACATTTAGAGGATTATAACTTCCAAAATTCCTCAGAATATGGCCAATGGCCAGTTCAATATTAATATAATATTATAATATAATATTATATTTATATTTATAATATAAAGAAAGAAGTGGGACACACACAAAAAAAGATCTACAAAGGAGATGTATATTAGGAATAATATGAAACCACTATTTATAATATTATTAATCTTAATCTTATTCACTAGATGTTCTCAGCCCAATGTTTCTTTATGTGCTATATGAGGTCAAAACTCAAGAAATGGATCTGTGCTGAATGGGTTGGTTTATTCTGTTTGTCACACTGGAAGTTAAATTAGCCATTGCAGAGTTGTATATGTAATCAACTACCTTACGGGAAACACACATTATATTTTTTTCATATCCATTAATTATGCCTACCTCCATTAGTGTTTCATCCTGTTCATCAAAGGGCTTCCCATCTTTTCTATTGTAAAATGTAGCAACACCTACAATTTCTTCTTTTTTGTTGACGATTGGCATTGAGAGAACATTTTTGATGATCCATCCTGATTCATCAACTGGACCTTTCTTAAAACACCAACACGTCAGTATAAAACAGATCTAGGGCTAACCTGCAGATCTAGCAATAATAAAAAAAACTATTTATATGATTCAAATCTGTTATTAAAACAAATGTGTGCAATATTTTATTTTTAATATGATTTTTACAGAAATAAGACAAATTGATTTACTCTAGATGATTTGCTCTTTAATCTGAAGACTGACTGTATGTTAGTAAGGAGCGCAGGGGCCCACGTGGTTAAGATGCTGGATTGGAGTTTAGCAAGCCTATCTTTAGGACTCAAGTGCTGTTGTGTGATGAGGTGAACTCCCATCAATCACTCCAGCTCTTTGTCATGGACATGAAAGAAGCCCCACATGATGTCACCGTCTAATCCTTTTGACCTGGAAACATTTTAAACTGTGTTTCTAACATGAATTGGGGGGTGGGGGGGAGAAGGGAAACCATGTTAGTTGACCAAAATAGGTAAAAACTATAGCCCATAGTTCAAAAGATTTCAAGAACATCTGGTTGTCAAATTCATATAGACAGTCCCTTTGCCAGATGTTGGGAAGCACCTAGCCTGGCAGGGAGGAGGAAATCAAGCACAAAATTAGCCTGGAGTCATTGCACAACTTCAAAAAGTCTAGGACTGACCCAGGGGTGGGATTCAAATTTCTTAACAACCGGTTCTGTGGGCATGGCCTAATTTGTGGGTGTGGCTTGGTGGTCATGTGACTGGCTGCGCATGGCTTGTATGTAAATATTATAAATATTTATGTAAATATTGAATTTTTTATTTTAAAAAAGAGCGATTTTTACCCAAAAGCAGGCAGGCAGATTGAGTTGCTCACAGAATCACAGATTCACTTAGAGATCTATCTATCCGTAATTGGCTACCTGAGTCTGTCACATAAAATTTGCTAGCAAGTAAACTCATCAAATTAACTCACAACACACCATGTATGTAAATACTGAATTTTTTATTTTTTTTAAAAAAAACAACTTTTACCCAAAAGCAGGCAAAGCAGGCAGGCAGATTGAGTTGCTCACAGAATCACAGATTCACTTAGAGATCTATCTATCTGCAATCGGCTACCTGAGTCTGCACTGTAAAGCTTCAGTCCTAAGGAAGGTTCGGCTCTACTTTTAGATTATCTAGAAAGCAAGAAATCCAAGGATTTCCTTCTTTCTAGCTAATCTAAATCTCCCAGCAGAGCAGAATAGCTGATGGTCGAGGAAAAAAAAGCAAAAAATAGCAACTTACCAAACCAGGCAAGTTGGATGGCTCACATACCAGGTAAGGAGTGAGTGGGTGGGGAGGGAAGGGGCCAGCCAATGGAGCAATTTGCCAGTTCTCCAAACTGCGGACAATCATAACATGCATGTATGCAGCATTTGCAAGAAATCATCAGCTGTGCCGCCTGGACAGCTGACAAGCACTGCGCCCAGGTGCACAGCGTTTGAAAATCCTCTTGTTTCCTGCTTTTTCAACCTCAGCTGTGCTGCGCAAAGTAGCGGAGGAGGGAAAAGCAGGGAATAAAGGACAGCCTAGAGCCCAGGCAGGCAGGTGGGCCAAACACTGAACCGATTCAGTGTCAGCTGCTCTTCACAGCTACCGGTTCTATAGAACTAGGCCAAACCAGTAGCATCCCACCACTGGACTAACCCTCCCTAAATTCTTTGTAATTTTGTCTAATTGTCCCCTGGCCAGACTGTGTTATAGGTACAACATAATAAAATAGCTTGAACTCTGTTCTTTGTTCACACCTGGCACCAGCAGAACAAATATAAAACTCTTATGAACAGGCTTACAATACCTGAAATGTAAACATTTCATCTGCTGCTATGTTCATAATATTACAAATCTGAAAAATTGCAGAAAAAAATATGTCAATATATATTTTGCTATTTTGAAAATTAAATAAAAACTAAAAGTACATATGATTGACATATTGTGGCTGTGATCCAAGAATTTATACATATTTCATTTTTTAAAATTCAGACCATCCTCACACCATGAGTGGCTATTGAAACTTCTCTTTGATTCAAATATAGTTCCTATTTCGGAAAATAAGCCCAGATTATCCATGAAGAATTTATCACATAGATCTTTAGTCCTTAGCCAAAGTACTCTTGAGTTATGCAAAGAGGTCAACATAAACACTTACAAAACCAGTTTCTGCTACATAAGTAGGGAGGCCACTACTCAGTGCCCAGTGATCTTCCTTGGGATTTCTAAATAAATTAAAAAAATGGAAATTGAAAAATTAGGCTTGGATAGAAAAGGAATGGGTTCTATGCAAAGATGCTATATATGACTTCTTCCTTCCTTTTACTCTATGCAGGGGTGTCAAACTTGGCTTCATTGACAGCCGCATGAGGGTTGTGTTTGACCTCGGGGGTGGGGTGGGCGTTGCCAGCTTGACATCACTTGTGTCAGGGGCTCCTGTGGCGGCCCAAGCACTCTGCCAGTGAAAACAGGTTCCTGAGCTCCGTTTTCGGCTGCGATGGCCTCCTGTAACCCTCTGCCAACGAAATGGAGCTTAATTTTGCTGGCAGAGGCACCGCGACCTGGTCCTTCACTGTTTCCACGGCGGCCCTGTGGGCCAGATTTAAGCACCCCGCAGGATGGATCTGGCCTGCGGGCCTTGAGTTTGACACCCCTGCTCTACAGTTACATTGGAGCGTTCCAGCAGTAGATACATTTTCAGCTTAATTTTCTTCATTGATACTTTTACAATATCTATATTTATCTTAACTTACATGGTAGACTTTCTTTTAGCTACAGATTCATTATAGAACCTGTGCTTGAATTCATACATGCATGCGCGCGCGCGCACACACACACACACACACACACACACACATATAAAGAACCTCATTTCCCACCAAAATGAGAGAGGCAGTGTATCACTTATTCTCATAAAAAGGTGTAAAACATGTTAGGCTGAGAGTTAATTATCTTTATAAGTGAGTGAATATCTGAGCTCAGTCACAACACTCCAGTTCTTTCTTCTCAGCTTGAGGCTCTCCAGATGGTAAAGACAATAACTCTAGAAATTCCCAAATAATGCTCAATTAATTAGGCTAATTGGAAATACAATGTCAATACATCTGAGGGGCATCATGGAGAGGGTGGTACTCACAACCATGCCCTGATTTATTTATTTTTACTCTTTATTAAAAAATGATCTCGTATTTTGTAGAGTCATGGTTAGATAGTATCATGGAGGCAATGAACATGAATTGGGACAAACTCCAAGAGACAGTGGAGGACGGTGGGGAGGGGCTGTCCATGGAGTGGCAAAGAGTCTGACTAGGCAACAACATTCTGTAGACTAGATTGAAGGAATTGATTGCATACAGCTTTGTATCAATGCCGCCCCTGCAATTATTTTACTTTACTTACGGGATAACTTTAATTTCTTCCTTTCCATGTAAAATATAATCAATGACCTTATAAAAGGCAATTTCCTTCAAAAAAAAAACAACAGAAACCAGAGTTGACATTCATAACAGGAGAGCCAATAGGGAAAGATATTACTGTTAATCTTCTCATTGCTCCTTATCACCCATCCCCTCCCACTTGTGATTGTAGGACTGTAACTCTGTCGCTTGTATCCTTACGATTTATATTGACTGTTTCCTAGTATGATTTGATTGCTGATTGTACCCTATGACTTCATTAAGTGTTGTATGTTATGATTCTTGATTCTTAACGAATGTATCTTTTCTTTATGTATACTGAGAGTATTTACATCAAGACAAATTCCTTGTATGTCCAATCACACTTGGCCAATAAAGTATTCTATTCTATTCTATTCTATTCTATTCTATTCTATTCTATTCTA